ATGCTGTACTGCTTAATAAACATTCCAAACGTGACTTGGCTGACTGAACTATGGTAAACATACCTGCTTTTCATCAACATGTCTGCATCGTCTGTTTAAGCTTATTAAGCTTTTAGCTCAGGCATTGTTGTTTCTAATTCAAATTTTTAGCACAAGTTCAAGCAGAAGGCTGTTTGCCAATTTTGTCACCATACTAAGGCTTAACCCCTTAAGCAACCCCTTAAGCAACTTTACTTACTTTTGCATTGCAGTCTATGCCGCTTCACAGCTTTACCCCTACTTGGTAGTCCATTCAATTGGGGTTGGTATGCATCATTTTGTTTATTGGTTATGTGTGTGTTATAAAGGGATAATACAATGGTTTGGCCTTGGCTGAATACTCAATACTGATTGGTCCAAGTGTAGGTAGTAATTTTAATAAAGGGACACCTCCTCAGCCTGGCCTAACTCTCGTCCGATCTATGACCACGTAAAACGATTGCCCGGCCATTGAAACCCTGTAGCCATTTGCTGATATTTGTCTGGAGCCAGTGCTGACCACCACCACCAGTATCAAGGCCCTGTCTATGGCTCCCCAGGGGGCACTCCCATTGGCTGCTTTAGGGCAGTATACCTGTGTATCTAATCGAAAGGGTCAACGCCTTCTTTATCAGATAATGCTTCTGCATTCATGATGTGTCTTTCCTGATGGAACAATATTTAGATTCTAGTGTGGTTGTAGATGTAAATTATTTTGAGGATAGTCTTTAAAAAATACAAAATTTTAAAATAGAAAAAGAATAGAAAGAAGTACCAGCCAATAACTTAAACCAAGGTTAATATGTAAAGTAGGTCTTTTCCTGAGTAGTCTTCTACCTCTCCTTAAATTACTTAGTTTGTGCGAAAGATCTAGTCTGGATGTTTACCTTTGTACTGCTGTTTTGTTCGTACTCCATATTACAATTTTACATGATCAAATAAAAGCAATTCTGGGAATTCTCAATAAGGATAAAACATGATCATGTTTAGGTATTTTTAGATAAGCATGCAACATAACTAAGACCTCTCTATGCCTGTGTTTAAAATGAATAAAATCCTGTAAAGTAGTTTCAGCTGACTGGCTCTTGTTCACCCCTTTGGACCTGCT